ACAGCAATTCTAATTTCAATTTACAATTTTTTTAATGATAACGTTGTATTTTTATAGCATTAATTATTTAAAAAAAAATTGTAGTAAGAGCAGGACAGCACTAGCTTTCCAAATAATCTTTAAAAATAAAAATTTACATCATTGAGTATTCAGATGTTAACTGTTTTTATAATCTCATGAAAAAATGTTAGGTAATTAAAAAATATCAATTTTGTAGAATTTATAAAATAAGTTATCTTTTTTAAATTATTAGAGTAATAATGGATTTATAAACATTTTGTAAATATCTTTTTTATATGAAATTTAAATTTAAATAACTTTTACTTGATACTTTTGTGCTACCTATAATATTACTTGAAATAAACACGAATAATTATTTAACAACCTTCTTTGTTATTTTTGATTAAACATCAACTCCAATGCGGCGTACAGATAAGAGTTGGTTGATCGAGTCCAAATTTTTACAGTATAAATATTTATACATTATAACAAAATATGGTGGAACAGTAATATAATTTTTGAACCACCCTAATAAATATGCTAATAATTTTTGATATTTCAGATTCTACAATTTTTCAAATTTTTAAAATATCAGAGACATTAATAAAAATTAAAAAACTGGTCTTAATACCTGAAATTTAAATACTTAACAATATAAAAAACTAGATCTCTTACCCAAACTAATATTAAATGTCAGTGGGTTGGATTTTCTATTTTTTTTTGTATTTTCAAGTTTACAAAGTTGTAAACAATAATATTTAACTTAATTAATCAATCTCATATTCCTTACAAGTGATTTTTTATTACAACACACTCATTTGTTATTATAAATAAATCACTCTAGATACATGTTATTGTGATTCAATAATTTTTATCGGGTCCTTAACAAGTTTAAATAACCTATTTTCTTAACAATTCTTATCATATACAAGTTCAATATAAAAATTGATGAATGAACAAGTGCAATAATAGTTGGAAAATATGTCACGTAAAAATTATACAGTTAAACATAATTTGGGTCATGGAATGATAAAGACATTTTTTTTTTGTTTTTTGACGCCTATTAGTGTTTCTCTAACGTAAATATTTTGGCCATAATATTATTTTCGTAAAATTACTGTTTTTTACGTAAAATGTTATTTAAAAAAAAAAATTTTCAAAATACCTTTATTATATTTAGAGTATCATGATGATAATTTGTACAAATTTCGAAACCATTTCATATTTGATATGTACTTATTAAGTTGACTTTTACAACATATTTAAATAGGTGAAGCTATACTTTTATTTATAACTTTTCTTTTTCTGATGTTTATTTTGTTATTATTAATTATAACCAGATAGAATACATAATGAGAAATCAAGAGTTACTTAATAAGCCAAAAAAATCAAAATAAATACTATTTATTAATTAAAAATCTATTAACTTTGTTAAATTTGGTAAAAAAAAAAAAAAAACAATACAGACCTATATATTTTTTGTGAAAATATGCTATTGTAAAATAAGATTTTGAAATATTCAAATATTAAGTTATTAAATAGTGTAATTAGTAAATAAAATCTTTAAAAATAGTCAGTTTTTAATATTAAATAAAGTTAAAATATACATATATATTTCTATAATTTATAAATATATTATAATATTCAAATTTTTTTCCAATTTAAACTCAACATATAATTACCCATCAATGATTCTTTCCATGATTCCTGATATCTTTTATCATTATTGCTATGCCTTAGTGGAATCTGTCGTCGTTTTCTACACTTATATTTCCTTAATTAGATTTTAAAAAAATCTAAAGGGAAATTAAATAGTAAAATTTTTTTATTGAAATAAAAACATCTACACCATTTTATTTTATTTTATGTTACAATTCAATTATTTATGATGGGTTTTTTTATTATAAATAATTGAAAGTTTCAAAATCTGATTTTACAATAGCATTCTACCAGAAAAAATTCATAGGTCTGTATTTTTTTTACCAAATTTAACAGCGTTAAGAAATTTTGAATTTAAAATAATAACAGTAATTACGATTTATTGTTTATGTAATCTAAAAGTGACGTAAAAACAAAATTGAGTATTTTTTAAATCCTCATATTTTCTATCGTAATTAATTATAATAACATAAACACTATCGTGCTGTCATGTCATCAATATTTTTTAATAATTGTAGAAAATAAATTAAGGTAACACTTAGTTGGCGACTGTTGAATTGACAATTAAATTAAATTAAGGTACTAGGTATTCAATTAAGCTTATCGAGATTTATTGTCAAAACGTCAGTCCAGTACTCGTTTGTCACTGTCAGACTTTCAACATTACGTCAAAATTAGTTTGTTAATTCTTGACGTCTTTACCTACTTGTTTTCACTCCTTAGTACTTATATTTTGCACCTCGTCTACGCCTTGTTCTAAGTTATATACTGGTACGCTTAGTATTTGTGTCTTGCACTTCGTCTGCATCTCATACCTTGGCGTAATTCCATTAAACTTCCTATGATAACGTCTCTTCGACACCTTCGATAGAACCGAAATGTCAGTCGAGCACACTGTGACTACCAATATTACATCACAGTCAACGTATTTCTTTTGTTATACGACATATGGAATATAAATACGTCCGTTTCCTTTTGAAAATAACTAATACATATTGATTTGTTTATTTATGTGTGTATTTTTTTCGGTAAAAGAAAATGATACTGCGTATTTATTTATATTAGATTCAATTGAAAAATAATTTTTCAAGCCTTTGTTCTACGATATATGAAATATATAATAAAAATATTTTTAATTAAATAGAGCAGTATTTAAATTTTTATTGACTTATTAAGTTTTTCTTTACATTTATAGCGATTATGTCATCAAAAAGGGACGCATTATTCAAAATGTTATTAATTTTGAAACCTAGTAATATTTTCTATCGATGCAAATAATAATAACATTAATAAAACATAAACCTCAACTTAAAAAATAAATATCAAGATGTAACTTAACAGAATTATTTCGAAATTAGCACAAACTATCATCATGATACTATAAATATAATTGAAGAATATTGAATTTTTTTTTTTTTTTAATTATCATTTTATGTAAAAACAGTAATTTTACAAATATTCAAATAATTTGAATATTTTACACAATTATTATACATAATTAATATTAAATATAGATAAAAACTAAGATCTTATTCAGAATCAGCGTCAAAAAACCTATAGGTACAAAAAAAAAAATTTCTTAAACAATCAATGACCCAAATTTATCGAGCTATGTTATGTATACAATGACAGACAGTCCTTTTAAAGTATTAAATTTAAAAATATGTTTTTAAATAAAAACTTAATTATATTTTAAGAAATTGAAAAATTTAAAACTAAAACTCTAAAATAAAATTTGACCATATAATAATTTAATCTTAAATATTTTCTAGCCTATTTTGAAGAATTCACTAAAAACTGGTCAAATCCCAAACCTTATCTTCAAGAACTATAATGAATTATTTACTGATTGTCAAATAATTCGTACAGATTTTAAATTATAATAAAAGAGATATTTAAAGAAAATATATATTTTTTTTTTTTACAATTGTGCATATCGTTATACAGGTGGCCCAGCACACACTGACAACTTAAATAACTTTTGATCCAGTTAATATTTTTTGCTAATTTTTTTTTAAATATTTAATATACATAAGACTTATAATAATACTGTAATAAATATAATTTTTATAATTAAAATAAAAAATTATAATTTTAAAAATTTACGAAAAATGTTTAAAAAAAATTCAAAATAGCCATTTTTTAGAATAAATTTTAAGAAATAATTTGGTAAAAAAATTTCTCATTAATGTTTTGTAGTTCATTTTCTGTAACATTTAATTTTGTAAAAATTCAAATTTTTCTGTATTTATTCCACGGTATCAAACGCTGGCTATGTTTTATAAAAAAGGACTATATATGATATGTGTATGGATTTTTCAATGAAAATTGTTAACGTTCTAATGACCGACTTTAATTAAAAAAAAAACGCAAACAATATCTATTTCTTAATTTGTAGTTTTATCTCTTTAGAGATAAAACTAATTATTCTAACTGAATTTTGAATGTATTTATCACGAGTCAAGATTTATATTATACTAAGTATAAAGTCTATTATAATTACAAACTTGGTATTAATACTATAATAGGAAATTTGATAAGGCAATTATGTCTCTTTTTCAAAAGCGTATGTAATTTTCATGAAAAAAGTTACACACCTCCAAATTATAGTAGTCATGAAAAGATAGTGTTTTTTTCTGTCCTTTACTCAAGAAGTATCTCAATGTTTAATACCGTAAAATAAGACATGAAAATTCAAATTTTCACAAACTTTAAAATGTTACAGAATATTTACTACTGAATATTAATAAGATATTATTTACCAAAATTTTTCTTAAAATCTACTCTACAAATTTTCTATCTACGAATTTTTTTTTAAATTTTATTTAAAATTTAAAAATAATTAATATTTTTAAAAAAATATAAAAAAATTACTTATTGAGATATAATTATAGACCTAGTTTTAGTTTAGTTTTAGTTATTAGTTAGGTGGACTTAATGCCCATGCACTCAGACCTGTTGGTTCATTGTGCGCAACTCATACCGAATTGTCTTGATTCGGTTTACCCATCTAAGTGTTATCACCGTAATGTTATCACATTATACCTATCATTGTATAAAGGTGGACCATCAAGTCACCCCTATGGATGACCAAAGAGTCCTGTCTTTCCTGCGAAATTAAGTATCTCTCTGGGTCTTAGGTTTTTAATATCTTCTTTTTTAGGAAGAGGTTTATTCAAGTAGTTTGATCTTAGTGTGGACACCTTCACATTCGCACATAATGTGAAATGAGTCATCCTCTTCTATTCTACATTGTCTGCACATTAGTAAGTCCGATACCCCCATTGTGTAAAGATGATTAAGCAAGTGACAATGTCCTGTCAGTAGACCAGTCAAAGTGGTTAATTGGTGTTAGACATGCTACTAAGATCACCCAGCAATAGACCAGGGGTTTTGATAAACAGTTTAGATTGTCTAGGTACTACCAAGTATTTCCAGATTTTCCTGTGTTGTTCTTTGTACCAATTCTTGGGTAGCGCTTTGAGCGATTGCTCAGTGAGTCCTACCACTGGTTCTGGTCCAATATCTTCCTATTTTTGTATACCAGCAGGTTCTGAGCCCCTACCAGTATCGCCATCACCTCTGCTTGGAAAATAGTGGGTATTGTGCCCAATGGCATACTGATATTTATTCGTGGCTTTAAACCCCAAATTCCAACACCTACCTTTCCTGATTTTTTGTATCTAACTGTATATAACACAAATCCTCCTTTTTCAGTCAGGTGGTTAATATTCCATTCATTACGTGTAGTGATCTCCACTTTGTAGGGAATGTTATACTTAAGAACCGGTTTGATATAGTCCAAGGGATATTTCAAAAAGCCCTGGTCTATCTCTTTTAGTATTTTACCATGTTCTGTTGTATTACTCTCCAAAGTGCATATACCTAAGTCGTGGAATCTTAGTGCTGTGGCTTTGGCGTGAGCTTTAACCTCTAGATGCAGAGAAGGCAATCCGATTAGTGTCTCTAATGCGACCGTTGGTGTAGTTCTTAATGCTCCAGTGATGGCCATAGCAGCCATTCTCTGTATGCGACTAAATTCTTTCCTAGCTGTAATGAGTGCTGTTCTGGTCCACCAGACTAGGGCACCGTGCAATATCATAGGTTTAATCACTGATGTGTACAACCAATACATAACTCTTGGTTTAAGACCCCATGTCTTTCCCAGGGCTCTACTGCAAGTCCACAATGTAGTCATTACATTTTTGATTCTTGACTCAACATGTGATTTCCATTTTAGCTTACTATCTAAGATAATACCTAAGTATTTTACTTCCGATTTTAAGCTAAATTCTTGTCCATTTAGAGTAAGAGTGTCAAGACTGTCTAGTCCTATTCTCCTTCTAGTGAACATAACAACCTTTGCTTTATTTGGATTAACAGATAGACCATACTTACTACACCATATCTGTATAGTTTTTAGTCTCTGTTGTGATAAGTCTATAATAATGTCTGGGAATTTACCCATCACTGCTATAACTCAGTCATGCGCATAGACTTGTGTATAACAATATTTGTTTAACTCTCAAATAAGCGAGTCCAATACTAGACACCATAGCAAGGAGGATAGAACCCCGCCTTATGGGCAACCTTGTTTAACACTCTTGATTACTTTGGTATCATTGAGCTGTCCCAAAATTGAGCAATTCTTAAGCATGGATTCTATCCACTTAGTAATAAGTGGTTCTATTCCATGCTGTTGTGCAGATTCACACATAGCATCGAAAGGAGTATTGTCAAAAGCCCCTTCAATGTCCAGGAATATACCTACTGCATACATTTTTCCCTATTTTAGTGGTTAAGCAATGTAGAGCTGTATCAGTAGATTTCCCCGTTTGATACGCATGTTGGTTTTCATGTAAAGGGTTCTCCTTTAGAAGCCACTCCTTGATGTACCTATCAATAAGTTTCTCCATAGTATTAGGAAGAAATGAAGTAAGACTTATGGCCTGTGGGATTTTGCTTCATAATAGTTAGTCCGGTTAGGTTTAGGTATAAACACCACCCTGGCTTTTCGTCAGCTTTCCGGTTGATAACAATAGGCAAGGCATGTCCTAAATATTTTTCATTTTTGCAATAATTATAGAGCATAGTTAGGTCCTTACCTAGGTCGGTGACCTCATATGGTAGGTATACTGAAGCTACATAATATTTTTACCATTACTTGGTGTTACTTCATTAATAGTCAAGATAGATTAAGTATCAAGCTGGCTTTAATTTTATTATTAACCAAAGTACAAATTCATGGTTTATCTGCTTGTTTATGAAACAGTTTAAAATTCCTTAGATTTAGCCCCTTAATCTGGTTACCATTTATCCATGGCTTCTGAATAGGTGTTATTTGTAAGGGTGTTGTGAGCCTCTCAGTTATGGTCCTTAGTAATACACTGCTGGCCCCCTTACTGTGATGCAGTAAGTTTTAAACGCTCTAAGGGTCTAAGTTTTAAACGCTCGATTTGTCAGCTACTGCTCCCAGTTGATCTTGCGACTCATGGTCTGCATATGTTGACGTTGCTGCCTCTTTGCTAATTCACCAAGTGTTCCGTTGTTCACATTGAGACCTTAAAGTACAACGATTCTTCTGAAAAGAATCTCCAGTTCACACTTGTTCCGATAGGATGTCCGTAGGGTCCCTGTTCGTACCAAGTTCGTTATTTTGTGGTGTTTGTATGTTTTTATCCATATAGTTCCCACGAGTAATCGAAAAATAAAGGTTCATCTCAGTACAGCAGAGCTCGATACTGTGATAAGCCTGTATACTCTATGGTGCGCCAGGTGCCATAGAGGATCCCAATGATCACTTTACCTTTCGGCTAACTACCCTATGACAACTTAGCAACCCTTTCACTTGGTATGGCTGAGTACTTTAATTTTAAAAGATAATATCTTCAACTGGAATAAAGTCGGGTTCTTTTAACGTATATATCATCAAATTCGGTCCAGTATGAGCTAAGAATTTTTATTGGAAGACATAAAAAAATATCATGGTTGTGTATATTAATACATTTTTAGTTTCACATTGAAGCTAAAAGACTGTCAACAAAATTTTTATAAATTACGTATATTATTTTATTGGTGATAATATTAAGTTCACATTGATTTATGTAAAACTATTATTTTATCATATAATTATAGTAACATTTTATTGCAACTGGATAAACATATCATATCAACTATTATTATAGTCACTTTGAAATAACTATAAAAAATCTTTAATAAAACTCTAATTACATTAAATTCTTCTTAAAAATTTATTTGTAGTATTCTAAACTATAATTTTTTATCTTTCAACAAATCGTAATGGTAAATATAATAATTTGAAAAATACAAATTTTAAAATTGAATATTTTACTAGAGTCAATCTTACTTTTAACTTAAATCTTTTATTTTTCAGAAATTATTTTCTTTAATCTTCTCTTCAACTATTGTATTTATGGTTATTCATAACGGTAATAAATAAATAATTTATGTAAAGAGTGATTATTTTTTCATTGATCACTTTACTAATAGAAAAATATCTATAATATCGAAAATTTTACTTTTGAATACTTTTATTTGCTGTAGTAATTCAAAATAAAATAAAAAGATATAAATCTAAAGGATTTGTTACTATTTTAATATTAAAATGTAAAAATAATGATCTTTTGTGAAAGGGGTAACGGAGTAGAGCACTAGTGAATTATACGTATATTTAATTGTAAATAATTCCATTGGGGTCGTCGTACGAAGGTTTAAAAATAATAAGGTATTAAAATAATGAGATTATTCGATTGGTATGTTAAATTATAAGGATATGGTTTCATGTGTATTAAGTAACCCCGAGTAGCATGTGCAATAACACAACCTGTCTCCAAATACTTCTTTGCCTTGAATAGTGCCACAACAGCACAAATGCTTCGCTCTTAATATACAATAAGATAATATTAATTACTTATATATTTATATTAATGATTTCGACTGATCATATAACCTTATTATTTAAAAACAATTAATACTTTTCTTGTAATTAAAATCTATGACAGAGGTCATAAATGCAGAGAAGAGCGTAAACCTGAAAAGTAGTGTCGCGAGAGATCGGAGTTTACTATTGAGTCTTAGCCTTTTTCCTTTATACATAAGATAGACCCAATTTCTTTTTGGTAATCTTGATTGATATAGTGCTCAATTTGACTGTTTTATTATTATCATATGTATTAATTATAACATGATAATTAATACTTAGTTAGCTGTTACCTAAAAACATGTATGTATAAAATGTCGCATGATTTTAGTGATACTATTTTCTTATCAACATAATATATAGTACACATTTTATAATATTGTGATTTTTGTTATGTATATATGAATTATTTAAGAATAATTCTTACTTTATTTATTAAGAATTATTACTAAAAAGTAAATTGTGTAGATATTATATCATTAATATTTTTCATATTTAAAAAAAATAAATAAAAAATGATCTAATTAATACTAATGACTGAATAATAACAACAATTGGATTAGCATTTCGGAAGTTACTAAATATTCAAAGAAATGGCTGGCGGTGAGCACGAGTTTTCATAATCTTGTCATGACATATTTTTAGACCGCTCACTTTCCGCCTAGCTTTACAAATGTTAATCAATTCCGAAATACTATTCCAATAGTTGTTATTGGACAGTCATTCTCTTAAATATATCATTATCTAATAAATAAGCTAGTTAATTACGTATATTACTATTTGAACAGATAAAGTCTATACCCTTATAAGTTATAGGAGATTAACATAAAAAATACTTTATGATTGATACATTGAAAAAAACATAAACCAAAAGAAACAAAAAAAAAATTCAATATTTTTAATCTTTGATTAACTTAATGGTTCATGATAAATTAATCACCCTGTAAAACAAAATTATAGCATTTTTTCAAAAATATAATAATGCATTACAAATGATTTACATTAAGAAATAAATAAAAATATCATATGTAACTCTATGAATTTACTATAATTATTAGTTGTATATATTTTTCTAGATCATAACATGTCAATGAGTAGAGCCACGCCAAGTAAGTTGAATGTATCACACATTCCGTTAAAATTCAATAGAAAAATTATCTTAATATTATTATAAATTTAATTACCAAACAACTGCTCAAATCTATTTTTTATGTACCGTTATTTTTTAAAAGGTTAGAAAGTTTAAAGTTAAGGAAAACAATATAAAAATATTTCCTCTGTATTTCATTAGGATCTGAAATCTTTATTTAACGTACATAAAATTATTTTTATAAAATATAATTTTTTTACAAATATCTTTAAATATATTAATAATATTTAATATATTTTTATATATTGATAACTAATATCTTGAATCTAGATATTAATCTTTGATTAATTAAGTAGTCCATGATTAATGATAAATCTATATAACAAAATTATAGCATTTTTTTTAAGAGTATAAAATACATTACAAATGATTTACATTATAAAAAAACTTAAAGAGTCAAATGGAACTTTATGAGTTAAATATAATTATTACACGTATATATATTTCTAGATCATAATATACCAACGATTAAACCCATAAGTAAGTTGAATATATCATACATTCTTTTAAAAAGCAAATAATAAAATAAACTATGTATTATTACAAGATTAGTTACTGAACAACAATTACTCAAATTTATTTTTTTAGCATCGTTATTTTTTGAACATGACATTTTTTAAAAAGTCAGTAAAAACATATAAAAACATTTTCTCTATATTTCATTAGGTTCTGAAACCTTTATTTTGCGTAGATAAAATTATTCAATAATTAATTTTTTTTTGCAATTATCTTTAAATATATTAATAATATTTTATATACATTGTTACTTAAAATAAAATTTTAAACAGATGTATTTTTTGAACATTAATTATTTGAAAGGTGTTTTGAAAATTTCCGAAGGTGGTGCCAAAAATTAGTAAAATGAATATTAATAATTATAACAATTGTTATAGTTTATTTAACAAGAACATATATTTATAATATTCAACATATATTCAAATTGAAACTTGAAATTTTTAACTTTATTTTTCTTAATTTTCATGTTATTTAGCATCTAATAATTATTGGATGCTAATGAAAATTTGTATTGATGTATCTAATACATCAATACAAATTTAAATTTACTTTCTTTTGTTTGAAATTCTATATTGTTGTAACACATTTCAACCTATCACCTATGGCTTCATAACGCAGTTTTATTAATATCGTTGATACCAAAGATGGTGTTAAAATTGAAATATTATTATATTAATGTGATGACAACAAATATCTATCTTATATTTAATAAATTTTACTCTTTACCCGTTTTCTATTTTAATAAATAAATGTTTAATATATTTTTGTTAAACTGGTTCTGAAGAAATGCTTTTTGTGCACAATACTTATCGAGACCGGCATAGTCGGGTACTTCGGCCATAATCTGTAACCTATCCGTAAAGACGCTATTTTTAAATTTTTTATACTTTTTATATAAATATGTTAAAATCTACATTTCTTTTAGAATAACACCATTTAACTGTTTTATTCATTAATCAAAAGGCATTAATAATTGCTCATCTTCATTATTAATGTGTGAATCAAATAATGTATTACAGAACTTTAAAATATTTCAACATCCATTATCCTCCAAAATTTCAATATGGTAATTTTTATTAACGAGCTTAAGTTTTTTATCCATAAAAGTGGTTTTTTACCAATTCTAGATACTTTGGTATTTTTTTTATGGGTTTTTTTAAATATTTATTTATTGAAAAACACTATTTAATCAATAAAGAAAGTAGATTGTATCTAACCCATCCCAACCCAACCTGACATGCTTATAGAATATTATAAAACATTCACGTACATGTGTATTTCATATTGCCTATCTTTCGTGATGAATCTCGAATATTTTACATGTAGTATGGTTAAATGTCGTATGGCGATAGCCTTTGAGTTTTACCTGTTACTGGATATGTCGTTGTTTGTATATAGTGACTATCGAATGTTTCGAGTTCTGTTGTACTATTTGTTTGATAGTTTCAGTGTAATTTTTTCTTACTTTGTTCTTCTATGTTAGATTATGTTCGATTAGTGACTCGTTTTATGTTGATTTAACACTGTTGAGTTGTTTTCTTTGGTTGAAGTTTTTTGTTGTATTATATAATGGTTAACGCTATCTTATAGAAGTTGTTTGCCTTTGAGATTTATTTTAAAATGAAGTGAGCTAAGAAGTTTGCTATAAAAAAAAAATAATTGAATAGTATGCGAAGTCCGAGATCTAAAGTTATTGTTCGTTCAAACAGTTCGTACTGTTCTTTATTTATAACTCCTCCCACGTTACATATCCACTTTATGTATCGAATTGCTTGTTACACAATAATTACTTGTCTTAAAATTGTTTTAAAATCATTTTTATCAGAAAAGTGCTATAAACTGGCTATTTTTAAATTTTAAAAAAAAATGTATTATTTATATTATTAAAAACAAAAAATAAAAATATTATTTAACGTAAACTAAGTATCCATAAATTACAATAAAATGTTAATTGTATCAAAAGTTATAAATGTTATCAGTTTGACCTGTTCCACTCTATATATTACCGAAAAAAATTATTATATAACTTGTATTGTCATAAATATTTTTATTTAAAAAATATTAATTTTAGCGTATGTATATATGGAAAATGATTAAAAAAATTTTCCGGAAAGGCTAATGATATGTTTTAAAATTTATTTTTATACAACGTACAATTTTTTGAGGATTAGAGAAACCTTTGGGAGCAAGCCTTAACCTCACCTAGTTATTACAACAAGCGATCCGTTTTGATTAAAAAATTATTTTCCATTTTATTATCTTTTGATAATTATACATTGTAAAATTATGTATTATAAACAACAAGTTGCTATGACAAGTTCTTTTGGTCATTTTAGGTAAATTTTTAATAGGGTTATACTTCTGTAATATGATAATCAGAAAACCATGTTACAAAAATTTTTCTCGGAAATAATTGAAAAAATAAAACAATGTTTTAAAAAAAAATTTCAATTATAAATTTATACAATCAATTATGTTATCTCACATAAAAATCAATGTTAAATTTTATTGTCTTAACTGTAAATTTTTCATACATATGTTTAAGAGCGATGCACACAGTGTAATTCAGAGAAACCAGTTACTCCGTTTTTCGTTAATTGCACACATGAGTATTGTTTAAAGTGTGTATTAGAATTTAGAATAAGCGGATATAGTTGTATTGTAAAGGACTGTCATGGAAATTTTCCCGAAGGTATTTATTCTATTATTATCTATTAATAAATAATAATTATAATATTCTCAATTTTATCTTATTATATCAAATTTTTTTTTATGTTGAACCATATACTAATATAATATACTGAGTGTTCAGTAAGTTTGGAAACAGTTAAATTGTTACAAACAATGAGTGCAATAGAAATTCGTTTCCTTATTTACTGAACACCCTGTATATTAAAATATTGAAAAATTAATCAATGCCGAAAAAATTACTCAACAATGTCCGATTTTCAAATTTTTTTTTTTAATTGAAAGAACTCCATGACGTTATTCTAGGTAAATTTTTACAAAGATAACAACATTTTTTTAGCACACGTAAGAGTTTAAAAATATTTTCAAAATCGTTTATTGTCGCCAGCGTTTTTCGATTATAATCTGAAATTTTTATTAGGTCTGCGCAAAGACATTCTATTTTTATCTGTATGAATTTGGTTTCAAATATCTATATCTAATCTATATGAGTTTTTGTTTATCTTTCTCCAATAAAATCCAACACAAATAATTTATAAAATTAACTAATATTATAAATAACACAATTTACATATATAGGATTTTTTACAAAAAAAATATTATTTTTTTAAACACTTAATAAAACATTCTAAATATTGACCGCTTAACACAATATAGCACTAAATATTTTAAAATAATTATCCAAAGATAATTATATTTTAATATAGTTATATATTTTAATAAATAATTGTATTTTTATATATGTTTTTTAGGAAAGCGTTTATGTAAGTATATTTTTGAAATATATTGTCAAAATAATAGTTTAAATTAAAAAAAATTGAGATTCCAAAGAAATCTTCTGGTAATGTGATCAAGAACTTTAAATTAAAAATTAATATCCTTTCTATATGTGTTGATGTGAGTGGCTTCTAGAAAAAGAATTTTAAATTCGAATTTTATCTACCTTTGTTCAACCTAAAAATATAAAATGTTATACGAATTTCTAAAATTATTTTTGTTTAGTTTTAACAATTAAAGGTCAATAATATTGCTATTTAGATAAAAAAAAATGTACAAAATTCTCAAAAATTTAAAAATTTAATATTTTTTATAAATTTTTATCGAAGAAATGAATAATTTATATTAAGTCGTACTCATAATTTTTTTGAAGGATATTTAGTAGAACAAGGGAATTTTTTTCCAAATTTTGAGAGTAATATCTGCAACTAATTATGATTGAGATATTTTGACCTATCGTTGAGTGAAATTGGATCAGTATGATCTCAGCAGATTGTAGTGATAAACACATCAACAATTAATACATTCTCAGCTTCACATCGACACTAAAATCAAATATTTAATGCATATCCAATAATATTACCATGTACATTTTCTAAGTAGAATCCAAAATAATTGTATAATACATTTATTTACATTTTATTTAAAGATAAATGTATGAACTGTAAGAAAGTTGTATCAAAAATGGAACCCTGCATTAGAGTTCGTTTTTGTGCTGACTGTGATCAAAAAGTTTATAATGGAGAAATTTCAGGATCGGACATTGAAAAAATAATTTCAGATTATGATAAAGCTAAAGAAAAAGAATGGAAAGGTTATCATTATCAATAAAATATTATTTCATAAAATAGATTTAATTATTTGTACTATAAACACTAAGCTGGTTCAAACCTATAGTGTAAAATTTATTCTCAGATATTAGATTACAGCACTCCGTAATTTTTTTAACTTAGTATAAAAAACTTGTACTTTGAAAATTTAGAGTTGATCAACCAATTCCTTCCCATTGGGATGGAACCCATTAGGATTGAAGTTTGACCAAAGAGGTTGTTACACGGTTTTTTACATTTATTTTGAGTACTATAACATTATATTAGATAGCGCTAAAATGTATAAAGTAAAAGTTGTTTAAATTTTCAATAAAAAAAATATTCACAAATTTTTTTATAAATACATTATTACTCTAGAAATTTAGAAAAATGTAATTTATTTTTTAAATTCTGTAAAATTGCTATTTTTAAATTATCTAGCATTTATTTACTAGATTGTAAAAAAAGTTAATGTTTGGATATTTTATAAGTCCGTGATATAAAATTTTGATTTTTAAAGAATACTTGGAAAGTTAGTGCTGGTATCACCCGTCCCTCACTTTAAAAAAAAAATGTTTAATAATTATTTCTGTAAAAATATAACGTCAGCATTAAACAAATTGTAAATTAAAATTAAAATTGTATTTGGGTCGTTAGACTCAAACACTGCTCATTTGATTGGAACAAGGTCACACTATCAATGCATAAAAAATTAAGAAAAATGTTTTTAATGAGGAAAATTAATAGATTATTGGTAGCGGCAGAATTCCTAAATTTAACTCACGATTTTAATTGAAGTATTTTGGACATTTCTTTATGCAAATGAACACTATAAATTACATTTTAATAGTATAATATATGTTATCATTCGTGAAGTGTTATCATTCGTCGAAAATAAAGTAAAAGATAATTTAACACGAAATGACTATAAAGAATTTATAAAGATATTATCATTTATTCAGTTATTATCATTTGAAGAAGAATATCAACACCAAATAGAATCTTATTAAAGCACCAAAATCCATTATTCAAGGTGTACGTAAAAACCATTTACTGTCTAAAAATGCATTTGTTTACACATCAATTTAAACTAACTTCCTAGAAATTTTTTTTTACTTTATTATTACATAATACGTACAGCAATGTTTCACTTGTAATTATTTAAATTATTGAATTTATTTTAGAATTTTTTAATTTAAGTCGTTAAAAATAATTGAAAACAGTTACCTAGTTATAATAAGCAAAATTTCAAAGCATCGGCAGAAAAGTACATTTTGTTGATTTATTTAGAGTAACATAATATATTTATACAACGTTTTTAAATAATTATGACTTCATTATCATTTTTACATTTTTATTATACTTTAAATTTAGCATAGATTATACATTTTCTACGTGTAATAAAGACCATTAATACTTATTTAATAACTTTTAACATTTAACTATTTAACAAAATTAGTATCTTGGAATACATTATGTAAATATCTTTTTTATTGGAAAATTTTTGGGCTAACTATAATAGTATTTGATATAAAGGCGAATAACTGTATAACGACCCTCTTTGGTTAAACTTCAACTCCAATGAGGCACGGGAAGGAATTGGTTTATCAAGTACAAATTATTATTTTTACATTTTTATTATACTTTAAATTTAAAATAGATAATACAAATCCTACGTGTATTAACGACCATTATTACATTAATACATCTTTAATATTCCAAATATTCTTTAAAAATCAAAATTTACGTAACGGAGTATTCAGATATTAATTAACTTTCCTTGTTTACAAAGATGTAAACGAAAATATTTAATTTTATTAGTTAATCATATACAGGTAATTTTTTTTTATAACCCAATCAATTGTTATGATAAAAAAATATTGTGCTTATATAGATATTATTTTAATGCAACATTAATTAACCAAGTCCTTAACAATAAATAAATAACCCATTTCTTATTAATTCTAATTTTATACAAGTAATTTATAGAAATATTCATAAATAAGCAAGTGAAATAATAGTCGGAGAAATTTTTTATATATAAATTACACATCTCACCAAAATTCGTGGTCAAGGATTCTTATTATATTATATAACAAGGATAAAAACGCTTTTCCGGGAAAATTACTTAGTGTGTTCCGAATTTCAAAAATTTTCTTATTTTCAATGAAAGTACTTGGTCACGAGACTCCGGGGAATTTATTATCGGAAAATATTTGCCGCTCGCCCTCAAAAGTTTTAAAATTTTTACCGTTTTGAGAAAAACGCTCGATGAGGCCAGTGATTTACGACTTCAGGTTTGAAATATTCACTAGCCCCAAGCACATTTCTAAAATATCATAAAAAAATTTATTTAATCCGTTCATTTTTATCGTTTACAATTTCTTTTTTTTAAGCCCACGCGCATGTTTTGAATAATAGTGTCGATTCATTTTTGTGCATATGTATATTTTGACACTTAACTAGTAGAAAATGAACTTTTAAGTCAATTTAATTTTGGTCACAATTTGAATATTTGTAAAATAACTGTTTTTTACATAAAATGTAATAAAAATAAATACCCCTTAATTATATTTATAGTATCATGATGATAATGTTGCTAATTTCGAAATCATTCTATAGTGTTTAACCTTTGATATGGAATTTTGATGTTTTTTAAAAAAGGTAAAACTGAACTTTTCTCTATTGCTCTATTCTATTAATATTAGCCACTCAAAATAATCATATTATAATTCAAATATTTTTTCGTTTTATATATTTCTTGATTTTTTAATTACTATTACTATTATTAATTATTATTTTTTTAATTTATCCCTTAGAACTTATAAGGGTGTTAACTTTTTTTTAAATAATAATATACATATTGAACTAGCATATAAAATAAAAGATGATCTAATTAAAAAAATGACTAGTCCAAAATAATTTTTAATCCATTATTTGGGAAGTTATTAACATTTTTAAATACGGAATGGTGGAATAGTGCGGCAGAGTATTGCGTTATGAAAAAAATAACTTAAACCACACTTTACTGTGCCACTATTTTGAAACAGTTATAGCTTCTGAAATAATAAATCAAAAGTTATTAAATCGACCAAGTTAAAAATGTATGTTGCAATTAAACAAATTAAGTTGACATCCTTATTACGCATACGAGATGAATTAAAAAATATAATTATATTAAAAAAACTGAAAAAAGATGGGATACGCGATAACACGTGGCTCGTGGAATGTTATAAACTAACATACAAACATACATACAAGTGAAACTAATACAAGCGTGTTAAAAAAGCGAAATGATCTTAAAATGGATTAACGTTACGGATATGAAGTTTAATGAGTCAAAGCTCTTATTTATTATATTTTAATGTCGAAAAAATATTTTGAATTATAGGGTTGTATGCGCATAATAGAAAAATATATTTATCCGCTTTAAATTCATTTCGTTTTATTACGTGATGTTTTTTTTTAATTTATATAATTATTCCATAAATATAAGCACTGTCACAGTGATCTGGATTATGAGAGCATGGAACAAAAATAATGAAGGATGCGCAGGTACTCCAAGGTTATAAATTAGCGACATTTTTTCCAACGCCTTCCTTTCATACCTTCAGCACATACAACGACCTTAGTAATAGAGATATATTCAAATAATGATAGCTAAAAACTGACACAATGGATGTTAAATAATATAATATGCATAATAAATTTAATTTATATACAATGTTCAGTAAGTAAAGAAACGGGTTTCTATAGTTCTCATTGTTTGAAACAATTGACCCGTTTCCTTACTTACTGAACACTCTATATACAATTGTTTCTTCCTCAGAATCGGTTAAGGACACCTCGCGTTTTCATCCCCTTCATCGCCATTTAATATTATACATTAATGGAAGTGGGATAGCCTCACCAGACATTAGTTGAGATTACTAAGTAGGGTTCAAAATTGAGATTTCGGGGGGATATAAAGGGGGACTCATATTAAATATCGTGACGAGATCAGTTCGGATGTACCGTTTATCGAGGAATAGCTGAGAAAAATATTCATACCGCTAGGAGCATCTGTTAACGAGATATAAGCGATCTTATGTAAATTATCCAAAACTAACGTTCAAGGTTACGTGAATGTGCCATAGCGGCGGCGGCGGTATCGGTAGCAGTGACATTGATCACCGGCGACATCGGATGGTGGTGGCGATTTAATAGGTTTCAAGTTATGTTGTGTTAAAGCCTTCATTCGCATGGC